TTACGCTATGTATACTTCATAAATTAATACAGACATAAATTATTTATGTCTTTGCTTCAAATATTTCATCTTTGTGAATAAAAAAAAATGTTCCAAAATATATCTTAATTTACGTATATATAAAATCTAAATATTGTTAAAAGCTGTAACTCAGTAGCACATTTAAGTACTTCCAGTGAAACCATTCAGTGCGAACGATCTCAGAGTGAAACAGAATTGGTGCAAAACAGTGTAGAGCAAATCCTGCACAGGTGCAAAACATCTCTGTACCTAAGTGCAGGAATAAATGATTTGATAAGTACAAGTATCCCAAACTAAAAAAATAAACTGATTAAGCAAACACCTTTTTTGAGTAGTTTAATCATATCAACTACACTTAATTATTTAGAATAATCTGTGTCTCAGGACAAGCCCTCATAGTACCTTGAACATTTTTAACGATAGAACATTCTATTTTATACTTAATATGAAAATTATAATTATACTCACAAATATTAAACATGAACTATATACTTTTTCTATGGCACAAAACGTCTTATGAAGTCCCTGTACGAATCGTCAGAGGGCGAAACTTTCCATCGCCAAAAAATAAAAAATCTTGGACCAATATTACATCAAAGATTTCACCTTGACCATGCTAACATATTAAATACACAAACAAGTAAAAGATAACAAATAATAATTTATTCGTCCATATAAAATGTAAACAACACCGTTCGAACGATCTTTTTGTTCGCTGCTGCATATGTCATAACAAAGCTAAAACGAATTTAATGGACAACAAAAAGAATGCGATGTATTCAAAAAACCACGTAATATTCCATGCTGTATAACCTTAAAACCATAATACTCAAACCCACCGTTCGTATTGCTAAACCTTAGACCTGTAAAAGACGTAGATATTGTAGATATTCACTAATATTCAAGGACGCTCAAGCAAGTCTATCTTCCCTCCAGACGATCGCTTTTACGCATGCGTGGAAGTTCTCATTGGAGTGTTGGTAAAATGGGGTGACAAACCCGGGCCGGGGCAAAATATAAACCGGGGCTGACTGCATTTTTTCAATTTCCAAATTCTATCTAAAGCAATACAAATAAACAAACAAAATTTGATTATTTCAGTTCCATTGGCAAAGTATTACGAGAGAAAATTGAAAAACCACGACCAGTCCTGGTTTTTTAATTTGCTCCGGCCCGGGTTTGTCTACCAATTTTACCAACACTCTTGTAATAGTGGGCCTAAATACCTGGTTGATTAGGCCAAACTGTCGCAATAAAAAATCACAATTGTTTTCTTCCTTGCGTGAATAAATTAAAGATATTGTTTTAAAAACATGAAACATCACATAAACATTTGTTACATATATTTCATTTTTCCATTTTAACCTTTTCTTTATGCATTTTCAACATTCACAAGACCAACTTTGACCACAGCCTAAAGCCTGAAGTCTGAGCCCAGGGGCCATAAATTTCACAATTTTGATAGAGGACTCAATGCTGATTACAATCATGTCAACAGTTTGACTGCTTGATGTGTAGGAGTAAAGAAGAAGATTTTTAAAGATTGCATTAATTTTACTGGTTTTGGCCCCACCCCTCAGACCCCAGGGGGGCAGGGATCATGAAATTCACAATTTTTGTTCCCCTTCACCCATAGATGCTTCATGCCAAATTTGGTTGAAATTGATTCAGTGGTTGCAGAGAAGAAGCTGAAAATGTTCAAATGTTAACGCACGACGCACAACGCACGACGACGGACGAAAACGGATAGCAATAGGTCACCTGAGTTTACTCAGGTGACCTAATAACTACACTACCAAGGGATGCTTCCACAGAAGTTTCAGCATTCCTGACTCAATGATTTGAGAAGAAGATTTTTAAAGATTTGTTCTTATATATATATTTCTATGTAAAACTTGGATTCCCTATTGTGGCCCCGCCCTATCCCCGGGGTCATGATTTTAACAACTTGATAACTACACTACCAAGGGATGCTTCCACAGAAGTTTCAGCATTCCAAACTCAATGATTTGAGAAGAAGATTTTTAAAGATTTGTTCTATATATTTCTATGTAAAACTTGGATTCCCTATTGTGGCCCTGCCCTATCCCCGGGGTCATGATTTTAACAACTTGATAACTACACTACCAAGGGATGCTTCCACAGAAGTTTCAGCATTCCTGACTCAATGATTTGAGAAGAAGATTTTTAAAGATTTGTTCTATATATTTCTATGTAAAACTTGGATTCCCTATTGTGGCCCGCCCTACCCCCCCCCCAGGGGGGGGGGGGGGTCATGATTTTAACAATTTAATATCTACACTACCCAAGGATGTTTCCATATAAGTTTCAGCTTTCCTGGCCCAGTGGTTCATGAGAAGAAGATTTTTTAATGACCCCACCCTATTTTTGTCTTTTCTTGATTATCTCCCCTTGTAAGGAGACATGGCCCTTCATTTTAACCAAGGATGCTTTGTACCAAGTTTGGTTAAAATTGGCCCATTGGTTCTTGAGAAGAAATCGAAAATGTGAAATGTGATGGACAGACGGACGGACAGACAAAATGTGATCAGAAAAGCTCACTTGAGCCTTCGGCTCAGTTGAGCTAAAAATATTTGCAAATGTAGGGTGCAAAATTGACTAAAAAAAATTTATTTGACTATTTTTTTTTAATGGTGGACTTATCTTTTATGTCAATTGAATAAAAAAGAAATTATTCTTGAGAAAATATTGTTTAATATTGTTCAGTTAATAAAATTTTTAAACGATGATGTTTGAAGAGGTATTTTTGTGATTTTTCATATTCCCTTTACGATAAGTACCCCTTAAAAATATTTGAAAATGTGAAGTCGCAGTATGTAAATACCATACCAAGTTTCACAGCCTGTACTAGATTTAAAAACAAGGAAACATATCAAGAGCTTTTAACTGATTGATAAGCAAGTACTAATTTATCATATTGAAAAGTTTGAAAAAGACAAAGTGACAAAGACTTTTCTGACATAGATTCTACCTTTAAGCATATATCGCTTCTTGTTGTAAAGAATTTAATTTTTGTATTCCAAATGTTGTTTCAATGGAAGTCGCCATATTGTGTATAATTTTCTACCGAAACATACATAAAAGCTATCATTTCATTGGCTGTTTGCTTCAACCAAAATTATCGTTCTTTCTGAAGAATTTACAGATGGTCCTATGTGTGACCGGCGCTTTACAATGCATATTGACCAAGGGTTTATGGGGAGCATTGCGGACCGAAAACCCTTGGCTAGCAAAGATGTAGAACATTTGGTATTTTCTTAATTTGTTTTCTTGGCTTTACATTCCATTTTATCTTAATAAACCTAAAAAAAATATGAATCATTATTTATTAGAATGTCTTATGATCATGATGTGCAAACATTAGGCCTACAGATTTTTTTTTTACAAAAAAATAAAAAAAGTTCTATTTCTTATAATCAAATCGAAATTATTCGAAAATTGAGGTTTTTGCTTGAACTAAATGGATTCAAAACTTTTCTGATTCATGGCAACCCTACTATTGATTATATATAAACCAGAACTAATTCTGCAATCTAAATAAAATACCTGAAACTGCTAACTTGATCCAAAAAGAGAGAAACCGAAAAATCATTCAATTTGACATTGTTGCATTTTTTGTTTGTTGATATAGAATGGACACAAAACCTGAGCTTGCAACATGGTAGAATTGACAACGCTTAAGGAAGGATTTTAGTACTATATGAAATTAATTTCAAGATTTTCAAAGTTAATTGTTTTTATTTTTTTCAAATTACCCCTTATATGAGAAAAACAAGATGGGTGTATAAGGCAGGCAGAATGCCTATAGCGCCACAGATAAGAAGTGAAAAAATTTAATCTAAATTATATCCAAATTTTATTTCATATTTCATCTAATATTAAAGTATACTTAATGTAAAATCTTTAAATTTACAAAAATCTCACAAAAACTGAAAATATTTGCCTATGAAAAAGCATACAAAGACTTAAAAGAACAAAAACGATCATTTTTTCATACTTTAACAAAATTTTTCAATGTGAGTGGGTCTTCGCTCCATTTTTTTGAAAGATAATCCAAAAAGTTTGCGATTAAATACATATTTTTGGGTTTACAAAAAAATGGAGGGAAGACCCACTATACCTTAAAAATACACTTTTATGACAAAACATTCGCATCTTTCCGCGAAATACTTCAAGTCCATTAAGTCAAGGGTCATATCACAAACATGATTTAAATGCCACTAGAATAGTCATGAGCCATGTAGCATAGTGTTAGTCTCGAAGCAGTCCGATACATGGGTATTTTATTGCTGGGGTATGAATCCCACAAATACCATGGAATTCATAAATTTCAATGAGATGTTATAAAATTAAATACTCAATTTATATATCAAATGTGTTTTCTTAATATCTGACACTATAGGCATTCTGCCCGCCTTATCCGCCCATCTTCTTTGATTGCACACTGGCCAAGTCTTACACCTGGCAGTCATGATTTAAAAGAAATTGACTATGTCGGATTACTAAATATATCAACGAGTTGTGACATTACTTCCAAATAAACTATTACAATTATTAAGCTTTGTGACAACATTCACAATGTAAAATATCTTTTTTAATTTCTTCTTCTGAATCATTTATCATGATTCAAAGAGGGAAGACAAATTTTCTGAAATATTCCTGAAAAATGCCAATTTTGTTTCATATTCCAAACATTTTTTTCAAGTGATTAAAGAGTATAATAAATAAGTTAAGTATAAAGTTACTCCATGTAATACAAATGCATATGACACATGATTGAAAAGTCAGCACTAGTACCTCACCCTAAAATTTACATCTCCGTTTAATTAATAATTTTGTTATTAGAAAATACACATTGAAGATCAATCCATGATAAAAATTAATTAATTTCACATATTGTTTTAATGTAAGCTTTGAAGAATACATGTATGACAATGCAAATAGAAAAAAAAACTTACATTTGTATGCATCTGTCGACAAATACTTATTCTCGCATGTTGAACACGTTTGTTTATAATATTCTTGTATCTTTCCTCCGCCTTCATTGTACTCGGCACAAAAACCTACAAAACATTGTTGAACATGTAATAGTATTAAGATCAAAATACTTTAAAGAAGCCTTAAAAATGCTGGAATTTAGGTTACAATTCTACATATTCCTTGTATAAACAAGAAGCTCATGGGTCACATCACTCACCTGAGCACTGTAGCTTGGAAAAAAGCAGAAATCAGTTTATTATTGAAAAGTTTAAACCCAAAAGTGATCCCAACCAATCCTTAAAGGGGAGAGGGTATGAGTAAAACAAACTACACTAACAAAGGTTGCTTGCATATTTCTTTGACAAACTGTGGCTTCTTTATTGCCCTTTATATTTAACTTACATTGTGGCCCCGCCCTACCCCCAGGAGTCATGACTTGAACAAACTTGAATCTACACTAATTGAGAATGCTTTCATATAAATATGACTAATCATGGCTTTGCCATTTTTGAAAAGAAGATTTTTAAAGAATTTTTCTAAATATTTCTATGTAAAACTTGGATTCCAAGTTGTGGCTCCGCCCTACCTCCAGGGGTCATGATGTGAACAAAATTGAATCTACACTACCTAAGGATATTTCCAATGGCATATAAATATGATCATTCATGGCTTTGCTATTCTTGAGAAGAAGATTTTTTGAAAAATATTTCTATGTAAAACTTTGATCAGCCATTGTGGCCCTACCCTACCCCAGGGGGTCATGATTTGAACAAAATTGAATCTACATCACCTCAGGATGCTTCCATGTAAATATGATCAATCATGCATTGGCTATTCATGAGAAAAAGATTTTTAAAGATTTTATTTTCCTATATATTTCTATGTTACAGTAAAACTTTGATCGGCCATTGAAGCCCCCCCCCCCCACTCCCAAGGGTCATGATTTGAACCACAGGAGTCTGAAGTTTTTATCATCAAAAAAAAAAATTGTAAAAAAAAAATTTCCCATTCTCAACTAATTTAGTTGAGTATGGAAAATTTTTTTCCAGATTTTTTTTTTTCCGATGGTAAAAACTTCAGACTCCTGTGATTTGAACTAACCTGAATTTACATCACCTGAGGATACTTCCCCATAAGTTTCATCTTTCCTGGCACAGTGGGTCTTGAGAAGAAGAATTTTAAAGAATTTCCCTATATATTTCTATGTAAATCTTTGATTGGCCATTGTGGCCCGCCCTGTACCCCAGCTGCTGAGATTTGAATCTACATTATTTGAAAAACCTAAATCTATACTACCTGAGGATGCTTCCATAAATATGATAATTCATGCCTTTGCTATTCATGAGAAGATTTTAAAAGAATTTCCCTATATATTTCTATGTAAAACATTGATCGGTCATTGTGGCTCCGCCCTACCCCAAGGGGTCATGATGTGAACAAACTTGAATCTACACTACCTGAGGATGCTTCCCTATTGGTTTCATCTTTCCTGGCACAGTTGTTCTGAGAAGAAGATTTTTAAAGAACTTCCCTATATATTTCTATGTAAAACTTTGATTGTCCTGGCCCTACTTCCGGGGATCATGATTTGTACAAACCTGAATCTACACTACCTGAGGATGCTTCCCTATAAGTTTCATCTTTCCTGGCACAGTGGTTCTTGAGAAGAAAATTTTTAAAACATACCACCAAATTTTCACTATTTCTGAATTATAACCCCTTGAATAAGGGCCTGACCCTTCAATTGAAGAAATTTGAATCCCCTTCACGCAAGGATACTTTGTGGCAAGTTTGGTTGAAATTAGCCAAGTGGTTCTTGAGAAGGAGAGGAAATTGTGAAAAGTTTACAACGACAACAGAGAACAAAGGATGACTAAACTTAAGGAAACTTAGATATTGATACATTATTAATTTTAAAAATGGGCATTTTTCTTTTAATGGTAGAAATGGCCAGTGTACGTCTTAACTTCAACTTTATGTAATTAATACGTTAATTAAGAGTTCGTATTAACGAAGTTCGAAGTCGTTTTTATAGGGAGTGGTCATCGCATATCCAGGAATCTCCATAGGATAATGAGTACGCCCACCTTTTTACAGGCTTAATACATAGTCAGTGCATGTTTGTTTATTGTTCTCCTTTTCATGGTAGTTGTATATTTATATATATTAGCTTATATTAATTTAAAAGGAGATCAATAGACAAACATGCGCTCATGGTTAAAAAGAGAAAAAAACTGTTTCTTCACGAGTTCACTTTCTCCATTGTAAACCGGCTATTTTGACCACGTTATTACCTGTTGAATATTATAATTAACCACATGATTTCTATACCCAGGGAAATCTGTGAATACTAAAATCCCATCACGTGACGTGTAAGGAAACACACATTCTGCTGGGCGATATTGATTGTCCTCATCTGTTTCAATCCGTTCTCATCGAGCCACCGGTTATTTTTTTCTCTTAGATATCTATAAGAGTATTCTTATATTTATCTCAAAAGCGTCTCATTTTACTATATCTATATATTTTTGAGTATATTTGGTTGGTTTTCTTAAATAGTCTACAAGAAAAAAAAGAGATTTGTTTTTTTATGATTTGAACCATTGCTTAACATGAACATCCAAAACAAGATCCAGTAAATAAAAATGAAAGAAAAAGTGAGCTAGCTCACATACCCCATGCTCCCCCAAAACTTGACGGTGAAACACATAATGAAAGGCACAGTGCACCTTAAATACATAATATAGATCAAACATAGGTAATCAGAGATTACAGAGCTCACCTCAACGTGTGTTGTCTTTAAGTAAGGCAAATTAAGTCACACAATTAATTAACAAAAAGTGTACATCCAAAAATGCAAAATTTATGCAATTTTGATACTTTGGAATAGACCTATATAAAAACTTAAAACTAGTTCTTCATCATAAAAATGTAATTAAAATCCAGCATCCGAAGCAAGATTGAGAGTTTTCATCCCTTGATGCATCATTTGTGCAACTGGTTTATATAAGCCTTATAGTTTCTTGGTGATAGTCTTGCACCCATAACTTTTACGAGGTCTATTATCTGGAAAATGTATGTCGAATTCAGCATCTGAAGCAAGTCCATTAGTGTGCATCCTAAGATGTATCATCCATGCAAGTTTGGTCAGCATAGGGCTTAAAAATACTTGCAAATGAAACCTGTATAAAAAAATTAACCTTTCCACTAATCCAGAAAATGTAGGTCAGATTCAGCATCCAAAGCCAGCCTAGTAGAATGCGCCCTAGATGTACCGTCCATGCAAGTTTGGTCATTATAGGGCTCAAAGTTACTTGGAAATGAATCCTGCACCCTAAACTTTAACCTGTTTACTCGTCCAGAAAATGCAGGTCAGATTCAGCATCCGAAGCAAGTCTGGTAGTATGCATCCTAAGATGTAACAATCCATGCAAGTTTAGTCATTATAGGGTTCATAGTACATTGGAAATGAAACCTTTACCAAAAACTTTAACCTGTTCACTCAACTGGAAAATGTAGGTCAGATTCAGCATCTGAAGCAAGTCTGGTAGTATGCATCCTAAGATGTACCATCCATGCAAGTTTGGTCATTATAGGGTTCATAGTACCTTGGAAATGAAACCTGCACCAAAAATTTTAACCTGTTCACTCAACCGGAAAATGTAGGTCAGATTCAGCATCTGAAGCAGGTCTTGTAATATGCATCCTAAGATGTACCATCCATGCAAGTTTGGTCATTATATGTCTCATAGTAACTTGGAAATGAAACCTGCAGCAAAAACTTTTACCTGTTCACTCAACCGGAAAATGTAGGTCAGATTCAGCATCCGAAGCAAGTCAAGAAGAATACATCCTAAGATGTACCGTCCATGCAAGTTTGGTCATTATAGGGATCAAAGTATCTTCGAAATGAAACCTTCACCAAAAACTTTAACCTGTTCACTCAACCGGAAAATGTAGGTCAGATACAGCATCCGAAGCAAGGCTGGTAGTATGCATCCTAAGATGTATCATCCATGTAAGTTTGGTCAACATAGGGCTTATAGTTACATGGAAATGAGACCTACACCAAAAACTGCACCAAAAATGTTAACCTGCACCAAAAACATTAACCTGGTCATTCCTTTGCTGAAATTGCAGCATCTGAAACTTTGACTGGTACAATGAAACACACTAGAAACATCTTCCATGCATGTCTAATCAATATAGGACATAGAAGTACTTAAAAAGAAAACTGCTCCAAAAAACTTAACCTTAACCCGGGACGCCGACGCCGACACCGACGCCGACGCCGAGGGTATCACATAAGCTCCCCCCAACTTCGTTGAGGGCTGAGGTGAGCTAAAAAGGGCAATAATTGCAAACAAATCTTCACATCAAAATGTTTTGCATATGAGGACATTTAAATGTGGAATGAAGTTTCTAGATAAATCATGGAATCAAAATTTCTTGGCATTATACAAATCCAGACATTAATTTGAAGTGGTTGGGGAGTGGGGGGGGGGGGGGGGGGGGGTGGGGAGTGAGAAATTTCCTTGAATAATAGGCAAAACTCTTTGGGATAAAATAATGGAATATGTCCTAATATCTGCATAGGTTGACGAAACTATGTACAACAGTTTAAGAGGAGTGGGGCTGACAAACTGTTCATATCTACTAGTATATTCTAAGTTGGAAAGTGTGGAAATTCCCAGAAAAATAAAGGAATCGGAATATCCTCGTAATATGCACATCTACATATTGTGTCCTAAATATCTGCAAAGTTTAACGAAAATCTGTGCAGCGGTTTATGAGGAGTTGCGCTGACAAACTGTTCATCTCTATATTCAAGGTGTGGCCAAAAACCTAAGTATTTAGTGCGGAAATTCCCGGTAAAAATAGTGGAATCGGAATTTCCTGGTAATATGCACATCTACATATTGTGTCCTAAATACCTGCAAAGTTTGACGAAATTCTGTGCAGCGGTTTATGAGGAGTTGCGCTGACAAACTGTTCATCTCTATATTCAAGGTATGGCCAAATGCCTAAGTTAAAAAGTGCGGAAATTCCCGGAAAAAATAAAGGAATCGGAATTTCCTGGTAA